TTTCGGGTCTCCCTAAGTGCTACACAGTAACTTTCCACAAAAACATCGTTAAGGGGAATTAAGAACCTTGTCTACTTAGCGAGAAGTGTATTACCGTCCAATCGTTTAGCAAGGAGCAGTTGACGGCGAATATTCACGTCCGCTCGTAACTTGTTCTTAATTTAAGCATCTGGTTTGGCTTAGACAGAAATAGTTAACAAAAAGATCAATAACCGATTTGGTAAAGGAGGCGTATCTTATTTTTGCTGTGTACCAATACAAAAACATTTAGTTACTTTTTTAATAAGTATTGATGTGTCTATCTTCGGACGAACAAGCAGAACCCGCCGGTTCAATGCTATGGAATACTAAACAGGCTCGATGCAGCCATGCATTGGGTCAGCGAATAGGATCCATAGAATCTAGGCTGTTCCAATGTTGTAGTTGCCTCGTCTCTGCTAAATCGATTCTGTATAAGCACAAGGGTTTAAGAGAAGCACGCTCACAGTTCAACTGCAGAATGTTTAGGGGCACGGCCAAAGTCTCTGGCTCAATGTTTTCATCGATGAACTCTCTTCGTCCTTTTTACGGCCTTCGGATAAAAACTGCTGTCATCACTCGTACGTTCCCGTCTACGTATCCAACGACCACTGCTGCAACCCTTTCGAACAGACTTTCAATCAACAATTTGAACAAATCTTGCCGCAAAATTTTTTTGAAATATGCTTCTGGGTAACGGCATTGTCCGTATTAGGATGGAGCTTACTGTAGAGTTGACGCCTGGGATAGTAAGATTTAGCTAAGGGCTATAATCAAAGACATTTTTATCACTGTTTCTCTTCTAAATTTAACGCCCTATTTTGGACCTAGATGGAAGAAATGCACCGATTATTCGCTGGCTAAATTCTCCAGAGCGAGCCAAATAGATCTACAGAGTCAAGGCGGCTTTGTGAAATATAGCAGTCGCATATTGGTGGCTTTTAATTGAAAACGTACATACATCACAGTAATGTCAGTAAATAAAATAAGTCGTATCGTTACGGGACCTTGACTTTACACAGTTAAATTGCAGTGAAATTTTGTCATATCATCCTGTGAATCGTCCGTTGAAATACTCATAGCAGCCCAAAAAAGTGATCTTCTGCTTGTTCCATCAAGGGCAAATATCCGATTTTCTCATCTGCCACGATCGTTTAATTGCATGCACTTATATGTGTATTTAAACATTCACAGGGATGCACATACAGGAGGTATGCTCTTCTGGAATGGGTCAGCTTAGCGAGTGCCTCCATGTCCATGTTGTCGATGCTAGGCAATAGTAATAAGCACTGTAATAATAACGGTATTTTGCGACCTTTTCGCAAACGTTATAGTTTCGTACATAGCATATTGTTATGTGTATAGTGAGAGGGGTTCGCAGTTCACGACCTTTTGGCTTCTAAATCACGTTGAGATTTATCACACGGCTTAGATGGCACTGCTTCCATCGCCGTAGCAGTCTGTACTCGATCGTTAATGGTTCATTGTCAATGAGCGGCCGAGTCGCTGATGTTGGCTTAACTATTGGTATGAAATTAATTACCACTGCTGTAACTATCTGCCGAATATGAACAGCGATTGGTAAAAGAAAAAACAGTAACGACGCAAAGTTGTTTTTTGCCGTTCCTTCCATTAATAATAGGAAATTTTCCCTTAACTATGTGGAGAGCCTTTAGGGCTTAATAGGATCAAATAAACTGGCTATCCCGCACCATACCATAACTCTCGTACAGCTTCTGACTAACTACATCGAAGGCGTTTCTGTACTTCGCTTTTCAAATTGTACGTGTTCGAAAAATGCTATCAACACAAACATACACATCGTAATAACACTGCCGTACAAATAGGACACATAAAAGGTCATATTTCATTATCAGAAATTAAAGCCTAAACCCAAAAGTAAAGATAAAAAACTTAACAAATGAAAAATCAACGCCTACTTTAGACTTGAACGATCCAGATGACTTAATGAACTCTGGATAAACTGCTCAGTTGTTAGTGGTAGTTCGCGATCTCTCGTGTTTTCCATTGGGGCAGCGGGTCCAAGCAGACGGTTATGTCCTCTAGTATCCAGAAATTGGCAAGTGTTTCATGTTAAATCTAATTCACTCCTAAAGCGTTTCCTTGCTCTCTAACAACGACAGATTTTTGCTACTGGAGGTGATGTTAGGGTCGATTTACAACAGCCAATGGATATTGGCCGCAACTTTTCGTGGCTGTTCATAGAAAGAAGTAGCCAAAAAAGAGCATGACAAACAAAAAGCTCGCGTATGTAATAGGTAACATGTCGAACTGTAACTTCTGAGGGATATGTCAATTAAAAGTTTTGAATGTAACATTTCAGGAAAAAAGACCTTTTGTGGCATCAGATGCTCAGATCTCACAGCAACGAAATATTGAGCCATCCAACTTCTCGTATTTTCACATCCCATACTTAAGCCGTTGGGCATTACTTTCAACAGCTGGTTGTTATTGGCACGAAAAGAATTTCGACATTTACTATCGACTAATAGTGACTTTTAGAGCAAATTCTAGAAAAATCGAATAACCCTTGAACGCTAATGTCGAGATCGAAACTAATTAATCTAGGTGAATCTAGATGATTCTTGGTGGTGATAGTCGAGCTGATTGTTGCTATACTTTGTTGTAGGTAGGGTAATTTTGCTGAGAGGACGTTTAGCAGGAACAGAGCTTTACATTAAATGCAGGAATTAGCTAATGCGCGTAAGCCGTGTTGTTTAGTCAAAGAAAAAAAAGAAGCTTATCTTATCTATAATAGAATTATTAGAAAGACGCGGACAGCAATCCCAGATTATATACGGAAGTCTTTTGTATACAATCTCGACATCCGGTTATGGCGTGATTACTGTATAAGACCCTAAAGAATCATTATAATTATTCACGACAGGCTTATAAGTGTTAGTACTCGTATGCCGACGCTAAAAGGCCTCTGGGATTCCACAAATGCAACGATCGGTCGGATTGGCGTAAGTGTAAGTTAGAGGTTGGACGCACAACTTTCGTATGCCTTGATCAACTTGAAGATATTTAAATTCAACTTAATTCGAGCTAAGCACAACCATCATTAGTTCATTAGATGTATCGAGAAATGTGCCAAAAATTAGAATGGAATTTAGTAAAAGATATATCGTGTATATCCGCATGTCTCATGAAATCCGTACGTTTTACGTTGCTTTCTCACTGTCTGTCTGTCTGTCTGTCTATCTATCTATCTATCTGTCTGTCTGTCTGTCTGTCTTGCCGACAACATGCGGTACACTGGAAGACTCTTAATCACCACTGGGTTACTGAGGAAAAAATGTTGTAAATGGTTCCCACTTGTGCGAACCTTACCCCAGGTGAGACAAGGAACTCGTAGTGTACGACCTAGTTAAACATCTAAGCTAACCTAACGGTATTTTTCACATCAGTTTCTATCCCTGATCCAATTCGGCGCCAGTCGCCACAAAGCACCAGTCGCCTTAGCGTTCTCAAGGAGTCAATTCCCTATATCGTCATGGACGATCGTCATAGACGACACAATCTCGTCGTCGCGCTAGTGGATTTCTGCTGTAGATTTGGAGGTTGTGGCAGTAATACATAGTTAGAGTTTAGTTTCCCGCTAACCTACTCCCTTGTTGCGACCCCCCCCCCCCCCCCCCTCTCTCTCTCTCTCCTTGTCGATATATTTATTCCTCGCTCGTTTTATCCGATCTCGTCTGAGCATTCTTCGCTATCGATGAATGGTACAGTCGTCGTCGTCGGTGACTTCTCCAGATCGTCGTTGGTTAAGGATTTGGCCGAACTGCCGGCTATACCGCATATTTCTCGTAGCGGCAACGGCGCTGCAGTCAGTAGCTGGTACTGGATTCCCATGATTCAGGCTCATGGAGAAAAGCCGATGCCGCACCTCGCCGTAGGACCCCCCAATCTGCGCATCCCTCTCACCAAAAGGTCGTCTTTGCTCGCAGAAGTTGTTGGCAAAAGCCATCAAGAGGTCATCGTCCTACCAGTGCCTTACTTCCTTATATAATGGTTCTAGCTGCGTATATCTGTGTGTATCTATGTGTCGGCCTGGTCCTGGCGGGCAGTGGCAGAGCATTTATTCGAAATAGAGAAGAAGACGGCCCGCGCATTTCTTCCTACTTTAGACACGGGTATTATAGGTAGGTAAATGGAAGTAGCCGATCGACCTAACGATACATGAGTAGACCACTGCAGTCTTCGTCGGCATCGATGATCAGACGAATGTTTCCGAGAGGCCGCTCCTCCCATGAATATCTCCAACCACAAATTTACTAAATACTCATATATAAAAATCAAAACCTACTACTTCTGCAGTCGTCACTGCCGGAACAGGTCAAGGAGAACCTATCAAAGAAGCAACTAATTCTCCTTGTAGTGTTTCTTGCATTCATTTACATAGCTGGATGCATAAAGGCATGTCCTTCTACCTAAATTACAAACAATCAGTAACTAAGCAATCTGTCCATATTTATGACGACATGTTCCTGATTAGCCTTCATTTTCTGCTATTGTCGCTGCTACGGTCGCAACGTCCGCACTGACCACAGCATTCAATAGCCTGCCTTACTCTAATCGTCCAAAGCGTTCAAACCAGCCAACCCTATCTTTGGATTTGCTCCGTCGTCAGCCTTTCTACCTAGTAACAGGCTAGCACTATTTCAAGCAACTCCCCGTCCGCAAGACAGCCTTCTTTTAACTGACGGCCACTGCCTGCAAATTTCTGATTCTGGTTGGTGCTGCCAGTCGGGCGGGACTGAACCGACTGGCGCGCTGCGAACCGGCGCCTCAACCCCCACGAACAGTACGAGCGCCGTCTGGCGGCAGTTCCGTCATTCGGCTAGCGGATTGCCGTCGAGCCAACATCGCGAATGGGAGCCGGCGCGAATTGTGTGCACCGATCCTATCGGAGCTGAACCGACAAGGTCTGATCAGTTGCTTCGGCGCTTCGGACGAAGCGCGTTGCGTGACTTCGACTCCGGGCTGTCGTATGGACGATATAACTAGCTCAACAAGCTTTCTTGTTGTTAGCCTGCGTTTGCGCCTGCCTGCCTGCCTGCCTGCCTGCCTGTCTGTCTGTCTGTCTGACTGACTGACTGACTAATACTGGAACCGCTGCTGGTGTCATTAGCTCTGCTGCGCGATTACTTTTTTGTGCTCCGGGCCATCATCGCACAGCACACGACCCGATGCGGCGCAGAGCGTAGCGTTTCAGAGAACGAGAAGAAGTCTACGGACAAACCGCGGGGAAGAAGACTGTATCCGCAGTGATATAGAGAATGGTTGAGTTGTGGCAGAGCAACGGACACTAATACGGCAATGGTACTACACGCTACAAAATACGTCTGTTACACTCTTCTTCCACCTGATGACTAACTATCGCCAATGGAAACAGCAATTGATCTATGGCTGCTTGGTGTTCCGCGTTGAATTTACGCCCGCTCAATTTAAACTGCGAGTATCGCTAATAACAAAACTATTACTGCTGCCAGTGGATACGATATCGAACGTCGAACAACAATAAGGATTACCGGACCATGAGTGCCTTTCCGTTTTTACGTCTACTTTTGCAAAATGAAAGCGGACAGTCTACGTATCAGATCAGAAGAGGTGTGAAGTGTCGAACTGAAGGAGTGAAACAGTGCTGAGATGTTTTTGTAGGTTACCTTCGAGTGATTCGACTGTCAATGAACAGCAGTGTCCCGCAGTGTTCGTTTATGGTGCTGAGTAGATGTGGACAAATGTGTCGCAGTATATACAATATGGCAGTTTATTCATACCGGGTATTGTTGTAATTGATCCTTCTTGAACCCAACTGCAAGGATAGTAGTGTTACTAGCTACAGGTGTTCAATCTATTGGGATAGTCCCAACGTGGTGCCCTAAAGACCGGATAAAAAAAGCTGGGTGGCTTCAGATGATCTAGACAGGTGCCAATTGCTTCGCTCTCGCTGGTAAACAGATGGCGTGTGCTAGCAAATACGCGTAGCTTATTTTATATATTTTTAGTTACTTGATTAGAGTCGTTGCTCATCGAAGCCGGAGTCGACCGGAGTGCGCGAACTCATTCGCTCGCACGCGTTAACAAGCTTCTCTGTTGTCCGCCCCGCTCATATACAATGGAACTCGAGGCCCTAGTGAGCGGCGGCAGTGGAGTGTCCTCGACAAGCTCGCAATCGCCCGGCCATGCGGTGGGCCAAACCCAGCTGCTATTCACGGATGAAGACGCGTTCGGTTTTGCCTTCAGCGATATCAAGAAGGAAGGCTACGAAAAGCAGTTTTTTGATTTCGACAAAGACGACTCGTCCTACCATTCACTGTCATCTGTGCCTTCCGTTGTGTCGCCGTACACCGCTAGTGGCGGCGGGAGCCAGATTACCGCTGGTGGGAGTCTCCCAGGATCTACCGATCTCTTCGAGTATGATCAGCTGAAGGATGCTGCGGTCGATTCATCAACGAACTCGGATGGAATCGTTGTCAGTGGCACAGGTGTTATCACCAGTGACGCCACTGGCGGTCCGGGAGGTGGGGATGGTAATGGGGGTAATGGCAATTCTGTCGTCGGTGGACTCCCTACCGGGGGAGCCCATACCGGGCCTACCACAGCTACCGCTAGTTGTATAGGAGTTGTATCGCCTATAGTTAGCACTAACAACGGAGCTGTCCTCGCGCACCAAACCACTATTAACAGCAGCAGCGGCACCAGCAGCAGCAGCAGCAACAACAACAACAACAACAACAACACCACCAGCAGCAGCAGCAGCAGCAGCAGCTCAGCCGTCACCAGTCCCTGTGGCAGCCCGGCGCTAGCGGCGACTGCGGGAGTTGTTGTCGCTGGCGTTGGCACAACAACAGCAACTGCTGTCGGAACCATCGTCAAAGGTGAGTGACCGAGCGGTCATCGACCCCACGGCAACGGCGACGATAAACTACGGACGGGCTACGGTGGCTCCGACAGTGACGACAAAGCTTCGTCCGTCGGTTGCCGTTCTTTCCATCTGTCCGTGTGTCCGGGTGTCTGCCTGTCAGCATGTCCGTCCGCACATCGTCGTTGGCATAGACATAGAAAACATAGACAAACAGACGTACGCACGCACGCACGCACGCACGCACGCACACGCACACGCACACGCACACGCACACACACACACACACACACGAACGCTCACTCGCTGCTGTTCGGCAGGAAGAGAAAACGCCGGAATGAAAAGCTGGCGATATAGAAGAGACGAAGACGAAACGAAGAGTGCGTGCCGCAGCGTAATATGACAGCAAAGTCGACTTCGCTGCCACTGCCGCCTGCCAAGTTGACTGTGATTACGACTGGAGCAGTAGCAGCATGGCAGGGCAACACCAGTCAACAACATGGGCCGTTTACTACAACTGCTAGCTCGTACAACATGTACATACAACGAAGGCGAACTGGCGCGCATCGAGCGGCAAGAGGCGTTCGATACTGCGGGCGGCCTGAAGAGACTGACTATTATTACACACGCGCTGCTATTGGTGCTACGCGGCTATGTTTTTCCCGTCTTTGCCCACGAAACGAAGACAACCGATCTCCCTCTACAGTAGTTATTTTTCCTCTCTTACTGCTACTATTGCGTTTATATACCTATATGGATGAATAGATAGATGGATGAATGGATGGATGGATATGGAAGCAGTGGTTAGGGTTTCTGTTGAATTCGCTCATGTCGCTGTTGCAACTTGAGCAGCTGGCGACCGCAGCCGGTATCACTGAAGCTGAAGTCGCTGAGTGTTCTGCGACGCTGCCGTTGCTCGGGCTGAACTGTGTAGGTGTCTGTTTCTACAAGCTTCGCTGCCATGACGATCCTGTAGAGTATATGTTATGGGCTCGGGTATCTGTAGAGATCGTTGCAGTAACGGTAGTAGCAATAGCTCGAGGAGCCAATGTGGTATGCTACAGCTTCATGGAGCTTGAAGTTTGGAAACTGACGTAAGCGCAGGTGCGACACGAAACATTCGAAGGGCGCATGCATAGATGAGCAAACAAAAAAAAAAAACTACTCTTCCAGCAAAAAACGCAAGACGGAATGTTTGTTGCACTAATCGCTGTCTCTTACTCCAGAATATGAAAAGATGCTTGGTCTAACACTAGCTTACCCATACGCTCACTAATAAGCGCCCTGTTATCGTTGATGCTCGCATGCAGCAGGCCCAGTAAGGTAACGGGATAGTTTGAAAATCTTATCTACAACCGTATCAATATTTTGTTAATGTTAACTTTTTGACCTTTATACAAAACATGTAACGAAGATCGGTGGTCGGCTCCATAACTATCTCTCCCCACATTAGAATGTTCCTAAAACAAATCTAAACAAATAATAGGAAAAATGCATAATATCTTCACCATTAGGTTATATGAGTGTTTTCACGTTGGCGACTATATAAACGTGTATCACAAGTCGTCGCCGTTCATCGTTAGAGCCATCGCGACCGCAAAGCTCCAATGGTCATTCGTTACCTAATTAGTGGGAATGCTCCGTTTACCGATAAAGTACGTCTACATGTGATCGTTATAAAAAAGAATTATTCCAAACATAAATTATGTACATAGCAGGTGTACATACATTTAAATATAATACTTTATTTGGCAGCCAAACATATAATTTGTTGTTAATTATTGGAGCCGATCACCGCCCGCGGCATTCTGCAGCCATTGAGTAACTCTAAGGCCAGCTTGACGCAGTAAACCCACCCTATTTATCGGTTATTCTATCAATAAAATAAAATCTCTCTACTCAGTGTCGATTTTGCTATGTAAAAAAAATAATAACAAGGGGAAGGACGAGCGACACATTGTCGGCTCGCTGCAGGTCCTGCCAAAACGTGACTGGCGATCGCGCGAGAGAAGTTTTTTATTCAATATTGACATGGACAACCTGACTAGCTCAATCGTTTCTAAATTACTTGGTTGAATTTAGGATTTGGTTGAATCGGTGACGCATATATTGGTCTATTTTTGAGTATAATTATAGCTTTCTCATCTGTTTCATGTTACATGAAGCGACAGCTCTTTCCTAATCATTGAGCACTGTTAAAATTATTTTCTGATAGATGTCTATGAATGTAAAGTGCCGCAAGTAGATGTAATCTAAAAAAAAAATGCCTTTTTTACATGAACCTGCCTAAGAGAATCATTTAGTTCAATGATTTCATGGTGCTTTGCGTTGACAAAATAAGATGACCAGCTGATGCCGCCTCAATGGCGACCAACAACTCTAGGAAGTCGAATAAGACCGGCCTTTGAATATGTAGCGCCGTCAGGACATCCGTGCGTTTCTATGCGTGTCCATCTATATGTTTCAAACAAAGACGATACAACCCACATGCTAGTAATCAAACAAGCGTGGAAATACTGATTGCAAAATAAGCGAATAAAAAGCTACTGGTTAAAGCAACTCAGCTGACATGGACTTGGTTTCTTTAAATACAAAATGATTTTTCAACTATAGTTTCCCTGGTGTATACGTATATATACTGATCAGCTCAGATACGAATAGCGTGTACAGAACTCAGTGTACGTCCTTTACTCCCACAGAGAGCTAGCTTTCGGCAGGCTTTTCAGCGCGCTGTGAAAAAATCAATCGAATCTTGAGACTTCGCGTGTTGTTACGTAAGACGTTTGCTGTCTAAGTCGACCTGGTAGGCTGTTACTCCGAGCCGGTCTGCTGAACTCGGACGATACGTGCTGACGGGCGTATTTAACCCCTGAGCTCAGTCAATCTCATCAAAATCACGACCGCTCTGCGCCGCATGACACCTCATTCTCCGCCTTCGTTCCCCTTTTTGTCTAGGATTCGCAGCAACTGCGCAAAGATTTTACAAAGAAAGAAGGCGGTCACCAGGAGTTGTTGCTCGCTTTACTTCCTTGTTGTATTCAGCGTATAACCACAGCTAATTATTAATGTCGAAAGGTATTATAAAGAAAGACGATCGAATTCGCCTTCCTCCCTGCCTTTTTCGAAGCTCTTCCTCGTGGTCGTCGTCGTCGTCGCCGCCGCCATTTTCTATTTTATGCTCCAGATCGATAGATCAAGCTACACAACGTTGCGGTAGCTACTGGCGTTGGCCGATTAGTCCGAAGGAGCACCAAATGATATACTATATACAATCAACACACGCGACACACTCGGCTGCTTGAAAAGATTGTCCAGACTTCTGGCGCTGGTGTTTTCGGTTTTGAGTCCTTCTGCCTACTAAGTCAACGACTGCTACTTGAACTGCTCGTGTTACTGCCGTTATTACTGATCGCTGAAGGCCGGGAGCTATTGTGCTTCCACAAATCTCCGTTTCTGGGTCCTATAAGCCAAGTAAACCACTGCTGTGTTTTCAACCCGAATGCTATGAGTTTGTTTGGCTGTCGATACCAAAATAATAGGCATAATTTTACTCTGATTGCCAATTCATTGATGTTGACCAGGAAAGCGGGTCACTGATGCCTGGGCAAAGCATCCTATCCAAACCGAGCGTAGTTGTTCACGGCTCGCGATTAGCTACTTTATTTATTGATGAAATGTATAATATGCAAGTTTGCATGTGTTCGCTAGCAACTGCTAGTCGAAAGCTAAGTAAGAACGAAAGATTAAGTAAAATGCGCTAGAGGGTATCTATTTGTACAGCGTAACTGCGATTGCGATGATTTTACTGCTGACCGACTTGAGGAAGATCTCCGACTTAGCAGACACTACTACGAGATAGTTCGGGAACATCGTCGGTGCGAAGGCGGTTTTTAGATGGGAAGCATTCCACGAATAAGCTCATGTAGAAAAGCTTTCCGACAGTTACGCGGCAGGTCAGCGATATCTACCTGACTTGATTCTGCCAGCGGGGTTCGGATTGACCTAGTGATGAGGCGAGAGCAGGCAGCGGCCGTCTGAACGAATCATTCCTTCCTTTGAAATTATATAACCACCGGGGAGCGCTCGCTACTAAAGGGGTTGCCGTATCCCCTACCCTACCCCACCCCACCCCACTTTTTGCGTGGTTGCGTCCCCTGTTTGCGTGATTTCTACCGACTGATTAACGGCATCGGGCCGTGATGATTCTGTCCGTAGCCCAAACTCAGTGTGGGAATAGTTAGTTTTGGTTACGGGTGCCACCTATCTTGAGACATATATATACTTGTACAGCAGTTTATTTATGGCAGTAGCGATTATAGCTGCCGTACAGATGACGATCTAAGGAGAGTCAGTATCGTCTCGAAGCCAACGCCCCGAACCACATGTAGTATTCAAGTCTGCCACACCTGTCATTGTCGGATCTAGTTCAGTACATATCTATCGGCCAGAAAGAGGGGTGCCCTATGCGCACAGCGTACTTAGCAAATGTGAAGCACAATACGAATTGTGATGAAAACAATGTAAAATAAAATGTAAATAACACGTCTTCATTCTTGGAGCTCTCTAAATGTCGTGTTTATTAGCCAAGGTCACATCACAGCTCTCAGTAACAATAGACCGAAGTCCTCATAATCGTCGTGGCACAGTTCGTGACAACATTCATTTAATGGTTTTCTATGAAGAGTCTATTTCCCCCAATTCGTGTTCTTTTTTTGTTCTCTTTTTTGTTCCTTGACTTTATTCAGGTGCAGTTCCTCTCGATCGAGACATAGCTGCAGTGACTAAGGTGAAACTCTGTTTTGGTTAACTTTTAAAGGAAAGGAGCGCCCGTCTGAAATTCAGTCTCGACCGTTTGTAGGCATCGAGCAGCGGCTGATCAAGGACTTAGTCATTCAGATTATCCTTCTTGACGGAAAGCGAACGATGCCTAATGATGATGTAATCGACGCCGCTGGACGCAGGGAGTTTTTGTTAAATGAGAGAGCAACGACACCGTTAGTATCGCACACACGTGTT